AAAGAATTTTTAATATATATAGTTCTACCAACATCAGCTTATTGGGGAAAGTCTAACCAAGTTCATTTAGAATATTTCAAATCCATGCAATGTTTTGTCTTTCCACTTTTAAAATATTTCATTTATTATTTTTTATTTTATGTGTATGTGTGTATCGCCTGCATGTAGGTAAGTGCATCTGTGTTGTGCAACGCCCGTGGAGGACAGAAGAGGCTGTTGGGTCCCCTGGAACTGGAGTTATGGACAGTTGTTAGCTGAAGTGTGGGTGCTGGGATTCAAACCCGGGTCTTCTGCAAGAACAGTGTTTTTAACCGCTGAGCCATCGCTCCAGCCTGGCTTTCCACTTTTAAATTTTACTTAAAGCATGTCTGTTTCCAATCTACCTATGCCTTATTTAAAATCCTGCATACTTATATTGCTTTACATTCACAATGTAACAATGTAAAAGTACTTAGTTTAATCGAATGCTGATTATATTTCTCAGAGTGCCCTGACATTGGAACTCTTCGTTTTTCAAAGAGACCTCTGAAGAACCTCATTATTAGGAATGCAGCTGGTGGACTGAGTTTATTTCCTCTGCCTTGGAAACATCTGTCCTTAACATTACATATTGCTCTCATGAAAATAAGCTCTCCAGGAGCCAAGCAAGGCATTTTTCTCACTTGAAATCCTTTCACCTGAGCAAAAAATATTATTTCTATTTACAACATTATTAGTAAAAATCAGACAAACAGCAGCCCATCATTCACTTTCTTTATCCTTATGACAGTCAATTATACGCTAAGTCTCCCAGATTTATGAGGCTTTAAGAGACAAAGGCTTTGCATCATATCCTTCATTTTAGTCTAGCTCCATTGAGGTGAACCAACATTTAGTAATTGGGAAGCTTCCACAGTTTCCGATTAATTAAAAGGTGAAACTCAATTCATCTCATAACCATAGCATCTATTCTGTTCTAAGTAAGTTTTTCAATCTTTCTTTTTTGAAGAGTAATCATATTAATATAGTATAAAAAGGTGAATTCCATTGAAGGCTGATCCTAGTGATGTTTTACATCCAAGGAGGAAAACAAATAGTATTAGGGTCATCGCCTTCATTTGAGGTAAGAAATATGCTCTTTTTTTTAAATCCAAAAACATTAATCATCCTTCCACATAAGTTAGTGGCTGTTTGCAAATCTTCTTAGAACTGTGAATCCAAATGCTTTGGGCATTCCTTGTTGTGTTAAGTGTTATTTAGTTGTAAGTCACATGTACTAGATATAAGTTCCTAATTAGATGTATGTCTTAAAAATACATTCTTTGGGGATACATGTGGCTTTTTTCTTAATTGATTATGTAGTTTGAGGCACACTTTGATGAAGTTCAACTTAATTATTAGTTTTATTTTGTCACCTAGCTTTTGTTTTTGTGTATGACTGTAGGCCCAATTCTATGTGCTAATGCCATGAAATTGTTAGAATAACAGGTAAGGCAACAATTTCTTATACAAGAATATGTTCTTACTGAATGAATTATTTATTCATTTATTCATTATTTTAGAATTTTATTTATCCTGTTCGTTTTTTTAAGGAACAGAAACCTTTTTTTTTTTTTTTTTTTTTTTTTTTTGGTATTTTTGAGACAGGGTCCCCTGTAGCCCCAGCTGGCCTGGAACTCATTATGTAGACCAGGCTAGCCTCAAACTCACAAAGATCCACCTGCCTCTACCTTCTTAGTGCTGGGATTAAAGGTGTGCACCATATTTAATTGAATTACTTCTTCCTCCCTTTTTCCCCTCTATTCTTCCCTCCTCCTATCTTCTCAGAAGTAATGATGTAAAAAAGAAAAAAAGGAAGTACTCATTTGTTTCATGTAGGAAACTTCTTTTATAGGAACTTTGAGGCATTTGGTACATACCACTTATACAGGGACTTTGCTTTCATACGGACAAAACAGGCTCATGTCTCACCTACCCACATGAAGGTACACCGAACATGATGTGTGGACAGAGCTGCAAGCTGGGGAGGAGGAGCAAAAGGGCACCATGCTTGGTTCACCTTTCTCCTGGCCTAAGTGGGCCTCTGCGCTCTGCGCTGTGGCACTGGGGAGCACACTAGTCCATTCTGAGCTGAACAAAGGATGCTCATAGTACTCCTCATCCGAATTGTAAGGCTCGTCATCAGGCACAGACACCGAGATGGAGGGGGCTAGAAGCCTACGCCTCTCCCCGCTGGTGGTAGGTTCATGGCTGGGGAACCTGTGTAGAGGACCTACTTGATCCTCAGCCCCTTCATCTACAAACAGACACACAGGAAGAAACTGCAGGGAGAACTGGACAAGACAGACACAAGGTCAGACGAACGAGACAAACACCTGCAGGAGGACACAAAGGGTCACAGAAGCAGCACAGCGAGATGGAAGGGACGAGCATGACTTATATGATGGAGGATGGGAGACAGCGAATGTTGCATGCTTCACTTGGTCCTGAATTCAAACTATCATTTAAGCAATTTTTCCATTGATCTAAGTGAATCAAAAACATTGACAGCTATGCTACAAAAGAGAAATTATCTGTGCATTCCTCCCCAATAAGTCAGAGTACCCAAGGAAACATCAGAATAGAAACACAGTATAGCCAAACAAAGGCATTATTTTGAAAGAAATTCCTTCATGAAGATTAATTCTTATTATTTCTATATTAGTAGAGTTCTAAGTTAAGAAAGAGAAATGTTGTTAGGGTAAAAGTTGATTACTGAGGAAAGATGGCTCCTGTTTTAAAATGCAACTTCAATTATCTGGACATGTACAAATACTTAGCATTTTGGTTAAGTTTTAGTTAATGACTTCAACCAGAAAATATTTTTTAGCTTTAAAACTGTTGGGGAAATCTACAAAGCATTATTTATTTTCCTGTCTTGATAAGGAGGAAACAGTTGGATGCAAAGGATGATGGCTCACCATGGAACATTATTTTAAACACTGGTCCTCATCTTTAACATTATAAACTTGTTTTCAGATGCTTTACTTCCAAAGAAAGCTTAACACAGCTACAGTTAGCTGAGAACTTACAGAGTTAGATTCACCAACACATCATTCTGTGCTGTTTCCTTTGTGCCACTGGCTCATGACTGTTTTGAGGTTTCAAATCTCTTACTGTATCTTCCTTATTGAAATGCTAAAGGAGCTGTTCCCATTCAGATCACTTCTTGTGCCTTAGTTTGGAAATATACAACTAATACAAATCCTTAAGTTCACATTGTAGACGAGTCTGCTTATGAGCATTTGGACTCTGCTATGGGTCAATGGGGTTTTGAGACTTTGAGGATGATCACCATTTGGCTTTTGATAGGATTCAGATGCCACGTCAGACTTATGTGGCAGGGGCAGGTTATCAAATTCACTAAGCACTATTACTTATATCTAGAAATTTTGGTAAGAGTTCGAAACTCTCATCAATAAGAACAAAGTCTATAGTATCTCTGCATAGTTTTTGTTTCTATCAGATTATTTAAAAGGTGGAATTATGGTGTTACTTTACAAATGCACTGTAGCTTTAGGCCTGTGACTTTTTTTCAACAATCAAGAGACGACAATTAGAAATAAGGCTGAAAACAACATGAATATATTAAAGTACATGGCAAGTGCTTTTGGGTCACCCCCAATAGGGGTGGAGAAATAATTGTAAATAAATAAAGGACGAAGAAATGGACTATGTCCTGGGGAGTAGTTTTACAAAAAGTGACGTTAGAATAGTAGCTTGTAACAAAGAAGTCCCACCTGAAGGCAGCTTACTTTCGCAATCCCAGAGTAACAACCTTGAGGAGACAGCTTCAGGGAGGGAGTCTAATTCTGAGTGTGGGATCTATATTTAGATTTGAATTCTAGATAAGTCACTAATTCAGGCATAAACAATGATGTCCTTGACAAAAACATGTAAATGAATGTACTCTGCCTCTATGGGTTCCTGGGAGACTTCAATCAAGATACTTGTGAAATTGCGTGAATATATGACATTTATTTCTCTAATTTATTTGTGTGCATGTGTGTGAGTGTGCACATACGTGTGAAAGTCTGAGGACACCTTGGGGAAGTCAGTTTTCTCCTTCCACAATGTGAGTCCTTGAGATCAAATTCAAGTAGTCAGGCTTGGTGGCATGTGCCCTTACCTGCTGAGCCATCTTTCTGGCCCTGTGTGTAACTGTATACATGTTAGTACTTTTATGTCAGTGTGCTCAGACAAAATTGCAAGTTTTGCTCTTTGCTTTAACTTGGAACTCAAGGTTGCAGCTGAAAAACTTAGGAAAACTGAATTCATTTCATAATGGTCACTTTTGGGGGTTAAGGGAACAATTGCGAGCATTCATACTTTTGTAAGTAGGCTACTTCATTTAACAAAGCAACATATAAAAGGATGGGATAACTTCTCCCCAGCTGACTTTCACTTAAACTTTTTATCAAGGCATTTAATTAAAATTTGTATTGTATAAAAGGAAAATTTGCCACCTCAAACTCAGCCTTAGTTGACCAGACCATTTGGTACAAATAAGTCGTCACTTCTACATGTGTCCACACCTTGTGCAGCATCAAGGAGTGATGCTGGTTTGCTGTGGTCCCACAGCGCATAAGGAAGGCAGCTGGCCCCACTTACAGTGTTCTCCACCACCTCAAGGTTCTCTCCGTTCTTCGAGCTGTCAACTAAAGATTCATCATTTTGCTGATTGCTACTGCCACCCCAGAATGACACAGAAGGAAACTTCTTTCGGATGAAAAATGATTATGTCATCAAATCTATGATGCAGGAAAACACCACCCTGGAATTCTGGAGCAAGCCCAACAGAGGAGAAGGACCCCTGGTTCAGAGCATTCCATTGTACATCTACAGACTTCCATATTCTAACAGCTCAGTTCAAATGCAGCTATTATGGTTAGACAAAAAAAAATAGATTAATTTGAAAACATTGTACCTAGTAAAATAGTATATATTCACACTATGGTTTCCATTCTAGGTATGCTACTTGGTGTCCCCCCCCCATAAAAATCATTTTTAAACGTTTCCTAAAATAGTATATATTCTGGGAATATGACTATTACATTAAATACAGTAAATGGATGTTTATAGATGATGGTGATTAATGTCTTAAATTATTTTCAGTGGAAGCTTTCATCCTTCCCCTTTGGGAAATAACTTATTTAAAAATGCCTGATAATTAAAAGAAAGATGTGTATCCTAAAAAACCATTGCATTACTCAACTTTAATCCAGGAGCTCTCTTGGATTATGGACTGGTCAGACTGTGGCTATTACTGTGCCCTCAAAGTTGCCTGGAGAATGCATGTCCAGAAAGGAAAATGATCCCTTAGACAAAGCAAAGAACCACCTGTGCCCTCTCCAGCCCATTTTCTGTCAGCACCACACTGGGCTGGATCTTTAAATCTCATTAAAAATTTGACTGAAAAATTAAACAGTTCAATCTTGTCTTGTATCTTGTATCACTATTTCTGGCAAAGCTAATCTATTTTTTAAAATCTATTATTTATTGTACATTAATTTAGTGTGGTTTGAAATCAAGAAGTGGTACTCTGACTACATTGCAGCTTTCACACATTTATATGTGGGAATATTATCTGGCCTTTAATTAACGAGGTTGGTTTATAAACTATACACACATATCTTTTCATATAACTCAAAAATGGTTTCTTTTTGAAAACAATCAGATCTTTATGTAATTTAATGTTTCTCTTGAAAAATATGTAAAATAAAAGTTAGGTTTAAAAAAAAGCCTGAATTATTTGCAATGGGAAGTGAATTGACCCTTTCCCTGAACATACAGCAGTCCAATTTGAGGAAAGCAATTCTTAAAATTCTGGAAAGCAGATACCTAAGTAATCCCAATGTGAAAGTGTTTCTAAATTTTGTTTCTTTGTATTTTTACCATAAGCATTGTTTTCTACTAGGAAAAGCCTGGTGGATTCCCAGATGAACAGGAGACTCCTGCTTCCTTTTCTATTACAACACCCTTAGGGAGTAAGAAGTCAACACCTCAACATCAACTAGACTTTTGGAGTGGGCCGTCTCTGTCAACATCATAGCCCTTTCTGGGTTAAGAGGATTCTCTGACACTTGAATGGTTTTAAGGAGATCTCAGAAACATAACCAACCACCTGAGAGAAGTATAGCTGTCCCGCAGGAACCCGCCAGCGTTCGGGGTGAAATTCGGCTCCTGGCCCCAGCTGGCTGCTTCCCTCCCTTTGCTCTTCTTCCTTCACTCCTCTGCCCCATTTCTCACTGCCTGCTAGCCATGGCTCCCTGCCTTAGAACACGGTCTTCACATCCACCTTTATTCCCCTATGTATCTTGTTTCCCCTGCCCAAATTCCCCCCACCCCTTTTAAAAATCTGTTCTTTATCAACACTTCCTCGTATTTTGGGACTCATCATGCAATAAAAGAAGGTTCCCCTTGTTGCTCTATCTGGAAGCTATGGTCCCTTTCCTTTCTGGCAGTATCGAGCTGAACTTGTAAGCTTATTGACTTGGTTTCTGTTCACTATATAATATGTTCCTTAGAAGCAGGGATTATGCATGTTTTGTTCACAGGAATTCTCCCAGAATTTGAAACAAGATGATTGGATAAACATAGAGCCAAAAAGAATCTTTCAAATGTATAAATTTAAAAATCAAATTGCATTTAAAGTGATTAACCAATAATTAATAGCTGTTGTACATTAATTATGGTCACCATTTTTTTTTTTTGGTTTTCTTTCTCAGAAAATTTTGCTTGTTTAATATTATTTTAGGCATTAAATTAGGAGGAGATAGCTTCAATTTAAGGAAGGCTAGCCAACAAAATATTATGTTTATAAATCTGTGACTAAAATAAATTATATTGGAGCTAAAAACAATATGCAGTTCAGTAATAGAAATCAGTATATGAAATAAATCAGACTACAAATTACAAAAGATAAATTTTTCATGATAAATGTTACTTAGTTTTAACATAACAACTAATCTCTGAAATGACAACAAAAGAGAAAGCTAAACGAAGGAGAAAATAATAAAATGGGAGCATTTCAAAATATCTTGGTCTTAGTATATGAAAGCAGCACCAGCCTCTGCTGCTGTTCTGAGGTAGACCAGTTAGCCTTTGTTTATCTTCCTGAGACTCAGGAAAGGGCAGGGAAAGCAAAGCCCTACTGCTGCTGCATCTAGTGCGTTTCATCTCCATCTGAATGAATATTCTTCGAATTATGCCTCTCTTCTCTCAACGAGAACTGAAAAGCTGCCGCAGCACTCCTTGTGGAGTAAGTGCATACATGTATTCATGGACCGCAGAGGGGCTCAGCAGGAAACAGCCATGGTCTCAGCTTCCAGTCCTCTGCTCTCAGCATCGTTCATTCATTAGCTTCTTGGTTTATTCATTAATATTTATTGAGAGTTTGCTATGGGGCAGGCCTTCGGGAAGGTCTTGGCAATGCAACCATGAGTAAAACACAAAATTCCTGACACTTACATAAGGAAGTAGTGACTCCTACTATCCTGGGGATTACATTTACTATTTTTGTTCAGTCATAAGTGATGATTGTATCATCTCTGTTTAAAATCTCCATGTTAAGTTAAGCTGTTTATACTTATTCTAGTAACTTAAACACAAAGCCATCCTCTGTGTTTCCTTTACCTAGTCTATTTTTCCCTTTTATATAACATTTACTATATTTTTGAACTTCTAATTTGATATAGGTAACTGATTATATATTTATTAATGGATCTGTTTTCTTCTTGACTAATTAAAATGGTTCTGACGCTGTCCATATTACTGTGCTCTGCAGTCCATTGCTGTGGACTGAAGTTTATTATTTACCCTTTTTGAGAAGACAACCCTGCAAAATACAAATTTTACCTTCCTCCACTGTGACGATCTGCTCCGAAGCTGGCGATGGTGGTGGGGAAGGTGGCAAATGAGCGGTCTCTTCAGCTGCTACAGGTCAAAAGTGGACAAAGGAGATGGAACAGTTAATTCTGTTAGGCCAGTTCTCAAATCTGCAAACAGGCCCCTATGAAGCGCCCAGAGAAAAATGCAGTAGCAATTTTCATTTGCCTTATCATTTACCTGAGTATGCACCTGCTGACAATGTAAAGCTTAAGATAAGCATTCAATATTTTTTGAAAAATCATCTCCACAAAAACTTTAGCTACAAAATGTAAAAATTTGTTATTAATTTCACTAATTTGAATCTATTTATAAAATTAATAATATATTTCATTTGGCCCTGACATACCACATTAAAACAAATCCAGGCAGGCATTTTAGTTTGGATTAGGCTAGTCCAACTGAAAGTAAAAACAATCTCTGAAGCTATGCTAGATCTAGAAACAATATTTTTTGTTATTCATAGTGGTATTATTAAAGCAACATTAAAAAAATAACATTTGTCCTCAGTTTAAGGTTAAACCTCATTCTCTTTATATTCTCAGAAAGGAACACTGAAATTGGTAAAGCCTATGGCACTGCTGAGATAAGCCCCACCCCCCTGGTGTGAGCTGGGTCACCTTCTGGCCCTCGTGTCACAGTGAAGGAGAATGGAGGGACAGGCTCTGAAAGGTATTCTATGTCCCCCTGGGCACATACCTTCTTTGTGACCCTTCTATATAGAAAAGGGACTTCAAAGGGAAATATTTCTCAATTAAGGTCAGTGGTTGGATATGTTTAGAGATTATGTGAATTTGCGTTTCATAAGGCAGTTTCATAAAAAGAGGAAGCTTTGGAATGACAGGTGACTTCTTCAGTTCCTTGACATGGGATTTACAGCACATAATTTTAAGATTTCAAATCTTAAAAACTGAGTTTTCTGCTGGGCATGGTGGTGCATGCCTTTAATCCTAGCACTCGGGAGGCAGAGGCAGGTGGATCTCTGCGAGTTCAAGGCCAGCCTGGTCTGCATAGTGAGTTCCCGGACATCTGAGGCTATAGGGAGACCCTGTCTCCAACACACACACACACACACAAAAAAAAAAAAAAAAAAAAAAAAATTAACCACCCCCAAAATCCCAAAACAAAAAAACCTGAGTTTTCTGTTTGTTAAAAGAAACAAAAAAATGGAAGTAAATGATAGACTAACAATGTTATGTTAGGTATTTTCCCCTTTTTGTTTAAGATTATTTTGATAATCAAAATACAGCCTTACAAATACTGCATATATTCTAAATTCTTATTCTGGGAGCAAAATATTCTTATTGTGCATTTGTACTGGACTTTAAAGAACTACTAATCAGAAAATCAAATATTAGGGATACATCGGATTAGAAGATAGGAAAATGAACAAGGAACGTTTTTAGAATTTAGAAGTGATGCCTTTCTACAGACTGGTTACTGATACCTATGAAATAAATAGAAACATTGAACCCAAGAAAGTTTCCTTCCACTTATTTTCATGTATATGCTATCTATCTATCTATCTATCTATCTATCATCTATCATCTATCTATCTATCTATCTATCTATCTATCATCTATCTATCATCTATCTATCTATCTATCATCTATCTATCATCTATCTATCTATCTATCATCTATCTATCTGTCATCTATCTATATATCATCTATCTATCATCTATCTAGCAATCATCTATTTATGTATCTACTGTGTGTCATCTATGTATCTATTATTTGAACAATGAATCAATTTATCTCTCTGTGCAAGGCATAGCCTTGGCTGAGTGCTCTCCTTGTTGAACTTGTGTTACTTTCCCTCTGTGGCACTGGAGAACATTTGATTTGTGACCATGGGAAAGGGAGGAACTCTTGCCCTTAGATGAATCAAGTGGTCAGTTCTAAGACACAAGATCAGTCCTTTCTATGTAATTCAAGTCACTGATGATTTTAACAATGCTCTAGATACTGGTTTTATGCAACCAAACCCATAAAGAAATATTTCTAACTAGTTTCAGCGCAGTTTCTTTATTTGCATGGCATCATAAAATCCCCTGATTTTCTAGTAAATGAAAAACTAAGTATCACTTAGGGGAACACCTGTAAGCTTATCACTCTAAAATCCATTAAAATATCACAATTAAGACATTAAGGGGGTTAAAACAGATTGCACTCTTCTAGTAGAGGTGATAGGTGAAAGTCATGTATCAGAACGATATGTAAAGTAGAATGCATCTTTTAAACACAGACTTTATGCTGTGACCAAGGGTAGCAGATGCTCCCCTGACTGAGGTTCTTCTCATTTACCTAAAGGCAGAGCCGTGGGCTGGTCTTTGTGTTGGGCTTCTTTCTCTTGTTCACCTTTCAGGACTGCTACAGCCTCAGCGGTGACCACTTGAACAATTCTTGCAGACACCTCCTCTGAAAATAAATAGTAACACATGAAAATGCAATGACCAAGAGTCCAAACCAGGTAGATTTCTCAATAGTATTACAAAAGAACAGTTTTGGGTTTTGAGAATTGTCTGATCTATTATTGTTCCATGCAAGTGTGACATTTAAGTCATGAGATGAGAAAACTTCTTCTGGAACGCCAGTGTTTTATGGGAAATTAGGGGTAATTGGGAGGCAGAATAGACATAGTAAGCATCAGGGCAATATGGAACCCTGATTTCTAGATCATTCCTGAATCTTCCTATTAGCACTAATGTAAAGTTTAGTCTCTTCTTGTGGTTCTTGCACACTTCACATGGGCTTGTGCTGAGACATGTCCTAGGGACTTGGTGGGCTTCCACTGTAAAGGGCTTTCCTTTCTCATGCTTACTCATCTTGAAGTCTTTCTTACTGAGCTTAATCCAGACTGAATGTTTAATACCACTTAATTTTTTTGTGAAACAATGAAAAATTAACAGAAAAGCTTTATTCATGATGTTTACACAAATTAGAAATAATCCATGCTTGCCACAATATTTGCCAACTTTTAAAATGCAAAATCACTTCATTTATGGTATTACTGCTAAAGAATTTGATATATTTTATATGACTGAATGTATGAAATCCACTGTGGGGGCTATAGGGGATGCAGATAGGGGAAGGGTCTAAATGTGATTAAGACGTATTCTATGAAATGTACAAAAAGTCAGTAAAAATATATATTGTAAAAACTATTTAAAATTTTTAAAAAGAGTTTGGAAGAACAAAAATAAATAAAAATTCCTTGATATAAAAAAGAATTTGATGTATTTTAGAACAGTATTACCTAAATTGGAGTCTTGGATATTTGTGTATGCATTAATTTTCTACCATCTAATATTTTTACATGAATTAAAGCTCTTTTTTGGTTGGTAGGATATTTGAAAAGTACAAGTATCTATTGACTTACATGAAGAAATTATAACTGAGCAATGTTACATTATTTTAGACTTTTGTGAAGGACTGTATATTGACATTCATTGAGAATTTATCTTAAATGTTTAGAACATAGTTGAATGTACTCATATGAATGTAGGCAAACAAAATTGTGGGCACTTTATAAAGAGGCTTTGAAACAGTATAAGTAGAGCCAAGTGAAGAGAGAATTGAAGGACGTCTTCTCAGTCCAGCCACATCCAACCTACACAGAATGGTCTGCATCTGCAGTGTATTTCAGTTGTGGGCAGCAATTCAGCTTCAGGCAAACAATTCTGTCTATTTTAGAAAAGAAACTGTAGGAAATTTTAAATTTTTCTGAGAGAAAATTAATTAAAAAATTTGCTTTTGGTTCATAACTGAATAAGAGCTTGTGGATGAGCTAATTTGATTTTTGTACATATTTAAGTAAAATTGTCTGAAAATAATTTTAACTCAATCTTGGAAGGCTTGGTAATTTTTTTTTTTCTGAAGTATTTAACAGGGGCTGGGGATGTAGTTCAGTGATATAGTGTTTACCTAGCACACACAAGACTTTGGGTCCAGTCATCAGCTCCAATTTTTTTTTTTTTTGAAAAGTGGTATTTTAAGAATAATCTGTTGGATGTGGTGGTACACACCTTTAATCCCAGGACTCAAGAGTTAGAGGCTAGCAGATCTCTGTGAAATCAAGGCCAGTTTGGTTTACACAGCTAGTTCTAGGCCAACTATGGATATACAGTGAGATTTTGTCTCAAAAAATTTAAATTAAAAATAAAATAAATTAAAATAATAATAATCTAATAGCAGAGATGGAAGCCAAGTTCATGTTGGCTTCACTAACATCTTCAAGGTGTTTGGAATAATAATAGCATTAAATCTCTTCAAATAGAAAATACTACACTTTCAAATTTAAATTTCACAGTGAATTTGGGAACACACAAGGACAGATAAGATTGCTCGGAGAGTTTCAATCGGTTCAGTGAATTCACAATCTTTTTTGAAGAAAAAATGACATTTATCAACAGTACAGCGATGGCAGTTTTCCCTAAAGTGCAAGAGACAACCTTTTCCAACAGAGGTGTAATGAGAGCTCTCCCGGGTGGATTCTGTTTTTTCATAGTCTGGCTCCTGGGACAGGAGTAAATTCACTTAGGGTTTGAGTAATTTTAGGGATGATTAAGACTAAATGTATCAAAGAAACACAAAAGACTAAATATGTCAGCCATAAAATCAGACTTATGAAAATAAAAATATAAAGACTATGATGTTTATCTTTATGCATATTTTGATATTATATATATATTTTAAAGTCATCCTACATCTATCTATTAAATGTTTCCTTCCTTCCATCCATCTATCCCTCCATTCATCCATTATATTTTTACTTATCCAGGGGATAACGTCATTGTAGGGTAAATTAAAGGAAACTTTAGTTCAGAGAAATATGGGTTTGTGCTATAGTATCCCTTTTTTTCCAGTCACTTCATCCTAACAAATTTAGTCAAACTTACTGTGCCTCCAAGCTTTACTCATAAAATGGAATTAGCAATAATGCTTGCCTCACAGGATGTTATGGCAGCTCAACTATCTAGTTACATAATGGGCATAGCACATTAAGAAGCTTAAATGTAATGAAGACTTCCAGATAGTTTTTCACCAAGGTGTTTTATTTATCTCCATGTATACATTCCTCTGAATCTGCTACCTTAAAACTTCCACTATACAGAAAGAGGCATGGTGTTGTATACTGAGTGTCCAATACACCAGACTGTTACTATACTGGCCATCTCTTGATACTCAATCTACTATTATTAATGTTGATGGCTTACTGATGCTCAGAGGACACAATTTTCAGAGACAAAGCTGTGAAGGAAGAACTTACAGTCTTGGGTTTTTATTTTCTGGTCTCATACTTACTTCCTTGGTTGTATAGATCCTGGGCTATCACCTGCTCAGGATTCTCACCAGCAAGTCCAAATTCTGGACTGCTTTCTAGATGAAGCTCCAAAAAGCTTGGCATTTCTGGAACTCCCATACTTACTTCCTTGGTCGCATAGATCCTGGGCTATTACCTGCTCAGGATTCTCACCAGCAAGTCCAAATTCTGGACTGCTTTCTAGATGAAGCTCCATAAAGCTTGGCATTTCTGGAACTCCCGAGGACAATCAGCATTAAGAAAAATCCTCATGGAGGTGAGGAGGAGAAGCTATTTCATTTTTTCATCACTTATTTTCTCTACCTTCTCATCTTTTTTCCTTTCAAATATATACACAGAGTTGTGAATAGGATTTGATTGTTCAGAGGATTAGAAACAATGTATTATATATAAATTATGTTATACATAATTGAGAGGTAATGCTGATCTCTGTAGATAAAAACATAATACTGCTTATTGCAACCTGATATTTCGAAAGCCTCAATTAACTATCTTGTGAACTTCCAAACTTTTGGGGAAGTGAACATTTATTTAGTTTATGTTATCAACTATATTAGTTAAGGAATGTTTGTGATATTTCTATTTTCTGTCTTGTGAATGATAGGATTTTAGTAAGTTAAAAGCAGTCTGACATTGTAGCAACAATGAATATTTGACTACTCTTTGAACACTGACTTGTGATAGTCATTAGCATTTTACCATTAATATTCACCTGAAAATGAGGGCTTTATATAGGTAATGCAAGAATACTTCACAACATGGCTGCAAGGTCGGGTCATGGCTAAGAAAAGTTCATAAAGGAATTTTGTAAAGAGATAACTTATAATAACCTAATAAGAAGATTTGAGTATAACCTATCTGGAAAGAAAATGTCAAAAATAACTTCTTTGAATCAAATTTATCACATACATTAAAAAAAGTTTCTTGTTATTGGATAATGGGAATAAATGACTTAAAGATACAATACAGGGAACACAGTAATAGGTAACATAGGTAAACATTTGAAAGCAAGAAATAAAGTCTGTTTTGAAAAATTATTCTGGGTAGTAGAGATAGGGATGGTATTCAAAAAAGAGTACTGGAGGAGTTCTGGTAGATAAGTTAAATTCTGAAAAGAAATATTATTTTTTCTTGATCCTGTGGAAATGTATTAGTGAAACACCTACTGTAGGTAAGTAGGTAAAAGCAGCTAACTGGGATATTTTCTAATCCACAGAAAGCTAATTGATAAGATCTGAAATGTACTAGATGAAGTTATTTATAGTTCACTCCACTACTAAGCATCATACTGTAGTTCCTAAGTTTTTACACTAGGCCTTTTGATTTCTTGTCAATATTAATAAATCCACACATCTACATGTTTTCTAGCTAGAAATACTAAATAAATATTAAAGCAATGTGTTGCCTCTTTTACATATCACTTTGATTTACATCAGTGCACTACAAATATTTCATACAACACCAGGTTCTAGTGTCAGCAAACCTAGGATCAAATTCTGCCTCTAAGTGTTACTAATCATTAGATCTTTGTTAAGAGACTAAGATAACCTTCAGAATTCTCATCTGTTAAGTGGGAATAAAACTGTTACTCACCTTTGATGTGATGTCACAATTACATGAAATAATACATCAAATGCTTATTCAAATTGTATGTCGAGTTGATAAAATGTAGGTTGGACTTCAAAGTTTTGGTAAGCATTGAGTTGATTCTGTGATTTTTCTCCAACAAATACCTCTTTGTTGAACTCCTGACTCTTGCCTACCAGATAGTGTATCTGGCTCTTGCCACTTATTATTTAAACTAGAATGTCAAAGTCTACCTAAATGAACAGTGCTCTTCTGTTTGACTGTACAACTCAGCATTTATATCTGTTCCAGACTTTGCTTTTCTCCATGAAGATAATTCGTGCTATACCACTACACTGACTATTTTGTTACAGTGTTTATCATGGCAAAAATTTAAAGACAGCTGTATTTAGCACTTATTTTCCTTTGGTTATTGTGTTATATTAATCTACCAGCACTTGGTTGATTAATAAAATCAGTGGAGCTGGAAATATAGCAACAATTCTGAAAATTCTTAGTTGCTTCTAAG